GGAAAAGTCGTGAGCTTTGGAATCGGCAACGTTTGTGCCGCACAGTCGAGAATAATTCGAGATTCGTTTCGAAACGATTTGCGAGTTGGAAACGATTGGCGAATAGCTAGATCCGTCGGCCAATAAAACGGAAGCTTTCAATTTAACGAAATATTGTTGACTGTTCTTCTTTCTTTCTCTTTGGCCGCGATGTTAAACCATCGAGGCAAGTATTCAATAAACGAAGCGAGGGGGATATTTTTAGAGAAACGATCGATGAGCCAAACGATAAATAGTAAAAATCAGTTCTTTATTTTCCAAAGTTGTCGAAATCTTTCCCGACGAGTTCAGTTTAGAAACGTCGTACGATTCGAATAAGATAGACTTATAAAAATAATTGAACACGCGATACGATTCTCCAAGATTGGCTCAACATTGGTCAAAGCAAACTCTTTCGATCTGCGATAATAATAATAATAAAAAACCTCAAACTTTGAATTCCACTTTTTTACCATGTATCGCTGTGCACTCAACAAGCCCTCAGAGGCTTCACGAGCCAATAAATAGAAACATTAATTCCACGAAATGCTCGTGGAGGAAATTGACGATGTTGGAGATGGAACACGACCTCGAAACCAGTCCAAAGACGAGGACGGTCCAAGCTCATGCGTCACGGAGGATCCTTCCCCGATGTTGTTCGCAAATTGTACCGACATGTGTGTAGTCCCGGTCAAGGAATTGGCCGACGCCAGGCCGGATATCCTCAATTCCGCCTCTGTTTGTCGACGCGTGGACGTTATTAATGGCACGTAACCGATATCAATTCCCTTGAAATCGGTTTCGATCACAACCAAGAGTAATTCACCCTCGATTGGCCGCGTGCAATAATCACCATCGGGAATTGGGGATGTACATCGTCGATCGTTTCGTTAATAAAAAAGAAAAGAGATAGATAGATCTGTATTATGGGGATGGATACAAGGAATTGTCGCATGGATTGCGTTTTTGTTATGGAGAAATTTTTCCTTTTGCTCGATAAAAAGATGTACGATCGATCCGGGCATGAAAGAAAGATGGAGGATAGTCGATGATGGATGCATTTTTGCCTCGTTGATGAGAAAAGATCGATCGATACATTGACAAGAATTGTGATACACCAGGGATGGAATTTTTACTTTGTTAACGGTAAGATAGATCGATAAGAAATTGAGGGATGCACAGGAATGATCGATAATGGAATTTTTGCTTTGGTTATTTCGAAGATTCTGCGTTTTTTACCTTGTTTCTCCTCCATCGAAACATCATTGCAATACCATCGCGTCCTTTTATCATTGTTTAAAACAAAAAGTGATGAATTTTAACATCGACGTGATCTTATTCGAAATCAATCTTCGTATCAAGATGGCCGCCAATTTCGAACAGAGGAAAGCTTAGATCTTAGCAGAAGAAATACCACGATTGCACGTATCGTCCCGATTATTATCCTTCTAAACGGTGCGCATCGAAATTTCCATTACGAATCAATTTTTGCCTCGAACGAGCGAGATAATCATCGATCGCGAGGATTATTAACTATCAAAGAAATAAAGATGAGAGAGAGAGAAAGAGAGAGGCGCAAGATTATCGAGTCGGCAAGTTTGCATTTTCAACCAGCGTTTAATATCTACTTTTTTTTTTTTCATGGAAATACGTTACCTCGCCATTATGTCCGCTCGCATTTACCCTGAAATACGCATCAACGTTTCTCCCAACTTTTTGTGTTGCTCGTGAAAAAAATTCCGCGCACGTCGAAGATAGAGAGAGGAAATATTTAAATCGGAATTCAAAAAAAGATCTCGATCGTTTAAACGTTTTCTTTTAATCGCTTTTAAAATCTTTCTTACAAAAGAAGAAAAAAAAAGGAGGGAGAAAGAGAAAGGAAAAGTCGCAATGGTCTGGAAAAGTGCCGCCTTCGTTTTGAAAACTTCTTCTTCCGCGAGATTTTCATTCAAGGGGAGGAGGGTTAGGAAAAAGTTACCAAAGAAGAAATCTCGAAATCTCCTCGCCTCCCACCTCGAATATTCACTCCACCGTTTAACTACTTTTTTTTCGAGCAAACGAATTCGATCCCGCGAAAACTTTCATGTTTCCCTCCTCTCCACGAAAAATAGAGAAATCGAATCTTTTCGCGAGCTTCGATTCGTGGTTGAAAATATTCGCGCTTCTTCTCTCTCTCTCTCTCTCACTCCAGAGAGAAACCAAAAGGAGGAGAGAGGAACAAAGAAAAAAAATTCACGTACCGCAGCTATCTCGAGGATAGAGAAGGGAAGGATGAATTGAAGGGAAAGTGAAAGAAGAGAGGAGGGCGTCTCGACAAAAAGCTGGCCACCCACCACTGCTGGTCTCTCCGGCAAAGAGAAGAGAGAGGCTGCAGTAGGCCGAAATTTCGAGTTTCCATTTAACCGCGGGAAAGCAGCGAGGACAAAGGCAGGAAAGGGTGGGGAACGAACGAAAGTGGAAACGAAAGAAGAAGAGTGCGGATTTCCGCTCCTACTTTCGAATCGCGTGTAACGAGTTTCCGGATAATATAACGATTCGAAACCTCGCTCAGCCTTCTTTCTTTCCGCCTTTAGATTCTATAATTTCGAATTAGTTTCGAATGGTATATCGATGACGCGTCGAGCCCAGTTTTGTCGTTGGATAAAGAAATAACTGTTGCCGCCCGAATCGTCGAGGAATGTCGGCGATTCGAGGATCATCGAAGCGAATCGATCGAACTTTTGACACGTGCACGGATCCTTTCGCTGTTCATTCTTTCGTGACGTGAAATTCGTTCGTGAAAAGTGTTCGTTTCCTCCCTCGTTCGTTGTGCCACCTTCAAAAAGGCAAAGCGAAAAAAGGTAAATCGTGACGTTAAACGCATGGAAGCGCACATGCAACGATCGATAAAAGAAGCAAAATTTCTATAAATCGTCGACAGCCTACGGTTGAGAGTTTATTCCGGGTATGAAAAGTATGAATAATTTGGAACGGAATCGAGTTTTTATTCGATTTCCGTAACGGGCAGTAAAGAGACGAGGATCCAGGTGTTTCTTTCTCTGTAAATTGGTCGGCAGCGTGTCAGAGTGGCTGTGGCCGCATCACCCTTCATTGCATTAAATTCTAATTCCTTTTACGATCGCGCAGCAGAGAGAGAGAGAGAGAGAGGAAGAGTATAGTTTATTATTGATCGAAACCTCCGATCGTAGCTTTATTTCTCGAATAAATTCGGATTAATGAAAAATGACGCTCGAAATATTTTTATCCCTCGTCACAATCGTTGGATATCGAAAATCAAAGTACAGTTATCCGAGAAAAGTTTATCACCCTGTTATCCTTATTGTTGCGAACAACTTCTCCGCGCAACAATAAAAGCTATTCTTCTCCCGAAACTCTTATCTTCCACGAAAATCCGGCGAGAAACTTGATGAGGGAGGAGGGCGGAGGAAAAGATAAGAAATCGAAGGGTAAAATTTTTGAAGAAGCGCTCGAAGCGGCCGGTAACGATTGTACGACGAATATGTAGATATTGCGGAAAATAATGTGGGATAGGTGGAAAGAGGAAACGTGGATGTCGAGGACGATCCGCCGGGAGGTCGGCAAAAGGCTGACGGAAGGGCGGCGGATTGGGTTGTACTCGGTTAGCCGTACTATAAATATTTCATGTTAATCGATATACGTGCACACGGAAGTGTGTCATGCACGTTGTCCTATGACTCGACACAATGCTCCACATACGGGCTCCGATCGTTCGACGAACGACCTCGACGAGGGAAAAGGAGGAGGAAGTCGAACAACGTTTCGCATGCCACCTTTCCCCTTTTTTCCATCCCGTTGCTGATCGATCCTGAAATCGATTCGAATTAAAAACGATCCGGTTTGAAGTAAAAAAAGATGAGGTAAAAATTCGAACGCGTCATATCTCAAATCGAAATTTTCGAAATTTCTTGCGATTTAAAATAAAATGAAAGCGGAAGTTACTCGTTTAGTCGAATCGAAATAAACGGATTCAAATAATATTGGAATAAGGAGGAGGAGGAGGAGAAGGAGAAATTTTGAATCTTGATATTCTGCCATAAATTAGATTGCTCTCATACTTGAATTGAAAATATTGGACTCGAGAGTTGCAAGAATATGTTGTAAAACATCGTCAATTTTAGTAAGATAAAATTTAGAAGGCGTGGAATTTAATTCAAATTTATCTTACTCAAAAATGGCCGATGCCCCAATTATTCGCCGAGCTAACGAAATTTCGAACTAAAATTTCAATCTTCTGATTAAAAAACTTGAAATTACATTATCGCTTTCTCCAACTTCGATCATCCAAAGCTCGCCGATCTTTTCACCGTTGAAACGCGAATTTTCGCTCTCGGTACAAACACTCGGCCAAATACTCGAGTTTTTGCGATAGTCTGGCCATAGTAGTACCGCCACTGGAGTACTTTGAAACACGGCTCTGTCTTGTCGGAGGAGGAATCCACGTTTCGATCTATTCGGGTGAATAAGTCACCCCTTCGATCGGCATCCAAACGAACCTTTGCCATTTTCGAATGGCGCAGAACGGCGATCCTATATTCGGCAAGTTTTAGCTTCGAGATTCCGGCTCATCTTTTTATAGAGCGACGAATCCGTGATTTATGCTCCCTCGTGCGACCGTGGTATATTTAAAGGGGACGAAAAATATTTCACCAAAGAGCGAGAGTTCGCATGCGCTTATTTCGTCTTCTTCCGTGCTGCGTTTTGTTCCCGAATAATCGTTGATCATTTTTATGGCTCGACAGCCATAAACCAACCCTTCGTATCATTCTCATCATCATGAATTATTTACTGTTCTACCACTTTTACGAATGTCTTGTAAAGAATATTTTAACGAAAAAATAAATATATTTCTCCTCTCGGATCTTTCAACGATCTTTTTTCGAATCTTATACTTGGACATTAACTTGAACAAGTAGGAAGGTATTTGTAAAGATTAATACATGTTTAAATTAATTTCTGTCCAGAGCTAATGGCGAACAAGAGCGGTCACATGGTGGGCGAGTTCGAGAAGTTGGGCCAGTTTTACAACGGATGCTTGAAATTCAGGGAGAAACCGGTGAATTTTACACCCGGTAAGTCAGATATTTAAACTCGATCCTTGCGGATCCAAGGCGGTATCGTGACGGACAAATGCGGTGTGTCGTTGCCGGAAATAACGTCGGCGCACGCTAAACGACGCCGTTTCCGCCGACGATGCGTCACGTTCGCGGCTTTCTCTCTCTCTCTCTCTTTCTCTCGAGTCTCGAGCTTAAACGATCGCGAAATCCTGTTGTTTACGATCCCTTCTTCGCGCTTTTTCGCGAAATTTTTCTCCTTCTCCAAGGAATTTTCGATTGAAATCACGATCGTAATTATATCGATATTCGTTCGCGACGGATTCGACGGATCGCAATTTCTTTTCAAGTTTGCGATTTAACAAGATATTATTGCAGACAGATTTATTTTATGCGATACGTATTTGTATTCGGATATTGTACCGCGCGAGGAGAAGGTAAGAGAAGGAAATTCTCGCGATATTCGAGGCACAATTTCTCCCTCCACTCTTTCGCGATTGGATCGAAATTTAAGCACGAAAGAGCGAGCACAATGGAATCGGTCTGTTCGATTCCAACTCGTACGCAATAAATACGGGTTGATAAATTTTAAAAGAAACCGGCGACATCGATCGATGTCTCCAATTTCTCGTCTCTCGAACGAGAAGAAGGCGCAAACAACAATTTCTGACGAATTTCTGAGAATAAATGTACAAACGTCGATCTTGCGACGCGAGAGTAATTCTTAATTCATGTTATATCCCACGTCCAGAATTCATTTCACGTTGTATTTAGAGGAAGAGAAAGAAGAAGAAGAAGAGAAACAAGAATCGTCCGTCGACGAAATATTTATCCAGCCGAAAGGAAGGTAGGCCACGAACGAAATAAAAATATCACGGCGTTCGTAAATACGATGTATAACGGCGTTGCATCGGCGAGCGTGCTTCGGGACGTGCTCGATCCCCTCGATCGAAAATTGTTGGTTTTTATTGGCCACGCGAGTTTCGTGATTTCCGCGGGTGTATGAATAATCGATCGGGCGAGTGAAAGCGACTGAATCCTCCGCAGAGGAGGAGAGAAAAAGGGGGGCGAAACATCTGCGCAGCCGATTGAATATATGAATGAATCCCCGCGATGCGAAACGAACGCAACACGTGCAACATTGCGGACAAACGCTTCGTGCTTTTATATACGGTGTACTTGGGAAAAGTTGGCGCCGATTTATCGAACGTTCCGAAATTCCTTTCCATTCTTCGAAAAATGAATATAGATTGTTCCGATCTCGTCGTTGAAAATCGCACGTTTACACAAATGTAGATATTAAAAAAAAAAGTCCGTGAATTAGAATTGGTTAACGATTGTCGAAAATAAATACGAGAATGGATTTTATTCGATCTAAACGCAAAATTTTATTTATACGAGAAAAGGTAAGTAACATTTATTCGTTATAGCTACAATTATGTAATCGTACAACTTCGATCGTTTGGAATTATATATAACCACGATTCACTTCGAACTGCTACAATCGAGTTAAAAATTTATTCTTAATTTCAATATCGTATACTCTGGCAAAGATTCAAACGTTAGAAATAATCGTTGCTTCTCGATGATACGCACGTTGAAAGAACAAAAAAAAAAAAAAAGAACGCATTTGTCGGAAAAGGTCGATGCAGGTTTTAACGTAAAGATCGAGAAGACGCGAAACGACACAATGGATGGAGCGGGATACGCGACTCCATCGCGCAAATAATAACGAAGAATTTGTTGGAACGGAGAGACGAAGAGAAGCGAGGGAGGATCGGCGTGAAAGGGAAGAGGGCATTTTCTGATCCGCGATCGCTAAATGCTTTCTCGCTTGCATTGTGCGCCCTGAACGACGAGGAGGAGACGTTATACGTCTCTCGTTGGGAAAAAAAAGAAGAGAAAAAGAAAAGGAAGGAAAAAAGTACGAAGTGGAGAGAGAGAGAGAGAGAGAAGCGGTGACGGAAGACGGTGTTGTTGGTGGTGGTGGCGGTGTGTAGTAGATGGTGAAAGAAACGAATTACAGGATGGGATTGCGGTCGGCTCGAGCGATGAAAAGCCGTCGAAGGCTAAGAGGGAGGGAGGGGAGAGGATTGCAGGGAAACTGGGAAAAACGAGCGGCATGGAGGAGAATTCGGGCGAAAAGTGAAAGAGAGCAACCTGTGCGAGATTATTCGATGCCGTTCGGCTTGTTGGAATTGTTTCGTTAAAATCTGTGACAATCGGAATCCTCGATATAATAATGGAGTTTGATGCAATCTTTTCCTTCTTTCCTTTCTACACCGCTAAATTCGTTAGGAATAGAAAATTTATATAGAAAATTCGTGAATACATTCGTACACAAAGATGAGATAGATTTTATACGCTAAATTTATACGTTATACAATTATATAACATTTTGGACTCGTCCCCTTTCAAAAATTTGTCTAGGAAAATTCCTCTCGACGGGTAAAAACTCGGAGAAACTGGAGCTCGTGTTCCAACACGACATACAACCACGTCCGCCCCAATCTCCGCAACGATCGAAACTCGATCACTGGGAACAAAACAATCCCTCGCGTCGAAAGATATTCGCGCTAACGATACGCGTCGAGTCGAGTAAAACTTTCGAAGATATTGTCCGCCAACGTCTTGGGAGTGGGCGATCCCCCGGATTCCCTATTATTTACGCTGAAATATTTTTCCAACAAATTCGGGAACCACTTCCTCTTCCTCCACCTTCCTCGGCGAATTAATTTCATCCGAAAGGAAAGGTTAATTGCGAACGACGACGAACAGGTCGTTTCGTCGAACCGAAAACTTATCTCGCGGCCGAATTTCCGTCCGGAAACACTGGGCTGAAAATTTTCGAGAAGGAGAGAGAGAGAGAGAGAAAGAGAGAAGGAGAAATATCCGTGATTCGAAAGAAGAAAGGATTGGTTGGCTGTCGCAACTCTCACGTCATAGGACCCAGCACGCTTTAACCCAGAAAGTCAATGTAGGCGGTCTAAGAATAGAAGCGAGGCAATGTCGGTTGTGGAGCCGATATACGGCCGACGGTGCGATTAATCAATCAGTATCGGCGCCAAATCGTCGGACGGTGGCATTAATCAGAGATGAATCGAAGCGGGAACCAGGTTTCGTCGAAATATCGTTTCGACCTCGTGCTCGAATACTCGATAACATTTATCTTCGCTCGCAAATTTCGTTCGAATTTTTCGGTGAAAAAAAACGCGGTTCGTTCGATGACGAGAACCTGTTGGTCTCGTGGAGAAACTTGTCGCTTGATTGGTGAAAATACAGGGACGGGATCGATCGAACCGTGGAATGTTTGATTAAACCGTGATTAAAGCGACCGCTGTTGCATTCCGCCCAAATTCATTCGGCTCGTTTACATCGCGCTTATAACGAAAATTTCCACGAAAATTCACGAATTCGAAATAAAATACGATACTTATTAGCCTCGAAGAAGAAGAAAGGGATCGATCGATCAATGAATGGAATAATCGAAGAGTTCGAGAGAAAGAGGAGGAGAGAATCCTCTTACCGCTTCGCAACGATCACGTGGCTTCCCTCCCCCGAGAAATCCTTTGCCGGCCTATCGTTCAATTCGACGTTAGCTTCTTAAAGTTGGATCGATACCAAGTATATATACGATCGATCATCGATATATACTCTTCGCTTGACCACGCTTGTCCGAGAAGAATCGACGATTCTCTTCCTCTCTCTCTCTCTCTCTCTCTCTCTCTGTCCACCTTCGCTAGAAATGGATTCGAAGTAGCCGCGATTCGAAGAAAGTTTAAAGGAGAAATTTATAGCGGGATTGTCCTTGGCTCTGGCAATCTCGTTATCCGTTTGCATGTGCGCCACAAGTTCGATGAAAAACCCAACTTCTTCATCCCTATTCTTCATCCCTTCGCTCTCTATATCCCCCTCCCCCTCCCCTCCATGATTCTGACTTACGTTTCGAATATGTTCGAAAGAAACGACACGCTTCATAAATTGGAAAGTTCGTGGTTTTCGAATATTATTCCACGATATTCTGGAATGGCTGTTTAATGCCATTTCGAAAATACGATCGCGAGGCTAAGGGCAGCGAAAGCAGTCGAGCTGGAAGCTTCGTGAACAATGCAGAGAGGGCGAGAGGGAGATTGATGGATTGAAGATTTGAGACTTTAGACCGATTCAACCGTGCAAAGCGAAACTAGCCGAGCGGAGATCCAATTGATCAATGCAAGGGACGAAACTGTGGCGATTGGCCACGCGTTAAGCCGAGGATAAGGAGACGTCCTGTTCAGAAGAAGACGTCCTCTCTTTCCCCTTTTACTCTTTGCCTATTTCTTCCTTTTTCGCATTCGTTCTTCTCCTCGACTCCCGTTGGTTAAAAAAGAATTTGTCGCGAGCGGTGCACGTGGAATGGAAACGCGGCTCAAGGCCGCGCTGCGATCGCGACACGATACGACACGGGCCTTGGAAGTTGGTCGAGCGGGGAAAAAGAGAAAGCGCGCTTTGTTGCGGGGAAAAACGGCCTCCTCCCTCGGCGCATCAAGTTCATTCGACGTTAATTGACTGTTAAGCCGCTCGTCGATGGATCTGTCTCCTCCTGAAAATCTTTCCGTGCGTTATCCATTCCGCTGGATCCCGTGGTTGTTAACCCACATACATACAACCCGTTTCTGGGTTAATTGAATTAAAATTTTCACCAACTGGTCTATAAAAAGAAGAAAAAAGGAAGAAAGAAAAAAAGAAGAGATCCAGTATGGATGGATAGAGTTATAAAATTCGCGAAAAAAATTTGCGAGAGGGACGTCGAAAGTTTGCCGATGTTTTTTCGTCTCTGACCGCGTTGTCAACGCGGATTTAATTGAACGGTAGAATTTCATACCCGTGGTTTTAGCGTGGCGTTGGCCTGGTGCGGTTCGTTTTTAAAGCGAGAGACCTCGAGCGGGTCAACAACAACCCGGGTGGGAAAAAAATTCTTTCGACGCGTAATTGAAATTGGCGGGAGAAGAGAGAAAGAAACAGAAGGAGGAAAAAGA